ACCAGCATGCAAAACTGGCGACGAGCTGCAGTTTTTCTCGTGTATCAGTTCTTGCTTTCCAGTTCTAGATAACTGAGAGGTTAGAAAACACCTTCCCTATGCATGATCAATTTCATAACCAAAAAAATGTTTAAGGGTAATACTAAATAATCACTCCGACTTACCAATATTCACTACAGCCTAACATCATCCTACAAATGACAATGTCAGATTCATGTTTACACTATAAATAAAACACCAAAATAGGTTAGAACGAACGTGATAAGGCAGCAAATGTAGTATTAATCTAAGTCCTCAAGGGCACAGGGTTAATCAAGACATCACAGAACCAACCGAATAAATGACTACCAAACAATGCCTCCATTAAACATCATTCAGATTCGACAGCAGCATACAACATGCATGTAGCAAAATCACAACCACCACATCCTAACACAGCGAGGACAACACCAATGATGCTTGGAGTACACCGGTGACAGGTGCTCCAGAGGTACCGAAATGGTGGAGCTCCGAGAGGAAATCCTACTGTAGCATCTCCACATCCTATTCGAGGAGTCAAGTAAAACAAATGCAGACGCCTATCAGACCCATCTATCTGGATTCAGCACATTCTCCGTCGATAGAACTCAAGATGTCAAAGCAGAGACTACATACCCAAGGGGTAACTTGGATCGAAACAGTAGGCCCAAAGTCGCAGATTATGGTAAGCATCATCCTTGACAGGCATTTCAACATAAATAATGTTTTTTTTGGCCAGTTCGATTCGAGACACACAAAGAAAAAAAAAAGATTATGGAAACCACACAGCATGTGACGAGTAGAAGCCGAAGATGCAGATGACATGGAAATGGTAATCGACGATGAACAATTACACCGATTCGAATAGGTACCACAACATTGCTTAGTTGCGGAGGCAAGGAAAAAAAAAAGGTCGGGAGTACATCCCCTAAATGGAAAGCACATGTGTTAGTTAAAAAAGCAAACTTTGGTTGCAGAATTAAACTCGGACTCATCCTATTAATTGTAGTCTATCCAGAAAACAATTATGGTAGCTCCCATGATGGTTTACCAGAAAAAAAAACATGTATCCGTAATCACGCAAGCCCACATACTAGTAAACAACAAGCAACTCAAAATCCCAATCACCTCAGGCGGATTCGATCCCAGGGAGGGGAAAAAAAATCTCGCGACGGCTGAACATTTCTAGAGCACGCCTCGCATTCCTCGATCACGGCGCGTCAAATCGCCGGCTGTGCGGCCAAAACGGCGCCATCCCAACACCGGCGGCAAGGCTGGGAATACAAGGTACCCGGACCAAACCGCCGATCGCGTCACGCCGGCGGTCGATCGCGCGAGAACCAGAGGGGGAAACAGCTGAATCAAGGTGCCGTACCTCGCGGTCGGGCCGATCCGGTCCGGCGCCACACGGAATCGGCGCTGCCGAGCGGCTCGTCGCCGAATCCCACCCGGCCCGGCGGCGGCGGTTGAGATCGACAACTTGGGCGGAGGACGGAAGAGGTCCCGGAAGCTTCGGTGTCGGAGAGGAGACGCAACCCAACCGCGGCGCGCTGCGTGGCGTGCGTCGCCGCTGTAAACAAAGCAGACAGAGAGCTGAATTTGTCCGTATGACAGAGAGAGAGAGAGAGAGAGAGAGCCAGGAGAGCGAGGAGGGTGACGGGCTGTGTATTTATAACCGTAGGCACCAGACAGGCGGACCGCGGGCCGAGAACGGAAGGAGCGGGGCGGAAGCGGGGACGCCAGGACGGGACGCGGGGCCCCCGGCTCCGTGTCTGGCTGGCTGGCCGTGGGTCCTGGCCCCACGACTCGGCTTTACGACTCGGCTGGGGCCCACGGGACAGTGGGACCGAGGGCCCCCTATCTCGAGTCGACACGTGCTGGTATACGGTGGCATGGTATGGTATGGACGGGCGTAGCACGTGGTGGGAGTATTGTGTACTACGAGTAGTAGACTAGTAGGAGGAGCTGGAGGAGATGACGGGGTAAGACGTGACGGGAACCATTTCATTTCATTGGTGGCACGTACGTAGGGTGGGATGGAGGTGCTTGTTTGACTGGCGCACGCCACGATACAGGCGCGGTGGGGGTGTGGTGCCCGCTTGCCCTTATCTTGCGTGTCTTTCGTTTTCGGCATGCTATGCGAGGACGGACTACCACCGTGTGGAGGAGAGGTCATCGTGGCTGGCCCCTTTGGTCTTGGGTTTCCACGTCTCGTACTCGTACAGGGTGTAAACACGATCACGCACGTAGGCTACGGGAGGCTTTGGATTGCAACCTACCCGCAGTAGGGATATGTGTGCTGCGATTGGGCCGGTCCGGCGCCAGGAGCAGAGCAGAGGACCGTGGGGAGGTGAGCGACGGGCAGAGCAGAGCAGGCGCAGAGTGGCAGGTTGACTCTGGAGTGCACCGGATCGATGTCAACTTGACAAGTCCCGTCGGTCGGCTTGGCACACAAGCCTCGCCTCGCCTTCCCTGGAGCAGGCCAGGGCGAGACCCGAGAGAGCCTTTCCTTCCTCGCTTTTTATGCCCCACGGCTCACGGCACGGGTCCCATGGCTATGGCGTTTGCACAGTTGCACGACAAGTCTCCGGTAGACGAGGCGGTCGTACACGTTCTGTACAACGAAGTCACAAACCCTTACTCTGTAGATGGGGCCCAGCACGGCGCTCGCTCATGACTCGTGGGTCAGTCAGCCCCGAACACTGTATCGTCGCTTCGACAGTACTCCTACACTGTATTACTAGTATTTAAAAAAAAAAAATAGAGCGCGTTTGCAGATTGTAATTTTTCCAGCACGGAACACGGGCGTTGGCACAGAGCGCGCTGCTCATTTAATAAATTTTGTCCGATCATGCAGATTGATACAAAACTCAAAAAAAATTCATCTCAAAGATTTCTGGTAAAGCGTGTAATTAGTTATTTTTTTTACCTATGTTTAATACTTAGAATTTGGAGATGATCTAAGCAAGGCCGAAACAGAGTGCGTATTGCAGAGTTGTCCTGTGTGCAGCACGGAGCACAGGATATGCCTGGCACAGAGCCGACGCTGCTCAGGACAGCTGAGAGGAGGCTGCGGACTGAGCAGACAGCAGAGCAGATGTACGGAGTACAGTACAGTACTGTACCACGGGGTGGCATTGGTGGACCCGCGCTGCAGCGAGCGACGGTCAGAAAGCGGCAGCGAGCCGGAGCCGCAAGGGGGAAAGGGAAGGAAACGTGGGCGCGGCCAGCTGGGCGGGACACGTGACAAGGGGCAGGCGTCCGGCGTCCATCCATCCATCGGCCGGGCCGGGGCAACCGAGGCGAGAGAGCCCGTGCCGTCCCGGTCCCGCCCCGCATCCGCGGACCGCGCCAACTGCACATTGGATTTTGCTGCCCATTTCGCCACGGACGTGATCCGCGCAGTCGCCTGTTCCGTTCCCCACCCGGCCACCCCCGGAATCCGAGGGGCGCGGGGCCGCCGTCCCCGTCACGTGTGTGGGCTTGGGTGCGCCTGCGCGACCGCGGCGGGAGGTTCGGTGGGTGTGGATGCGGGCGCCGCCGACTCGACCCCGCGGGGACGGACCGAAAGCCTTCACCATCCATCATCACCAGCCGCCAGAGAGCAGAGACCACCGCGAAGAGCAAGAGAGCTCGTGGATAATTGGATGGATGGACGGATAATTGTAGGGCTCGGCTCAGGTCGGCCGTCACGCAAACGCAACTCGCTTTCACAGGTACTGCCTCCCACGCATCATCACACGCAGCCACGCAGGGAGCGCGCGCCAACGAGCGCAACTTGCGAGACCCGCTCGCTCGCGCGCGCGCTCAAGTCATCGGCATCGCCCTCCGGGCCGGCTTTGCAGGTTCTGCTGCAGCACGCCTGGTGCCTGGCGCAGTGTGGTGCTGCGTAAAGCTACCACCGCCTACTTGCACTCAAATAGCCATAGCTATAGGGGGGATGGGATGGATGATGCATTGGTACTGTTTGCAGCTGTGCTATGTTACGAGTGTCAGGTCACTCTCGCCCACGCTAACCCAAACAACTAGCCTGATTAGCCGAGATATGGATAAGTGTCGTGTTAAGATTTTCATCACATCAAATGGTAAAAAAATGCAGTCACGTTCGGTTGGTAGGCGATTAAATATAAATAAAAATAAAACTTAATTAAAGAAATAATCTTTGGTGGTTTGTGTGAAAAAGAAAAATCTTTTTAATTAAAATTTACGATCGATATCGACAAGCACAAAAAACGAACAATTTCGAAATATCGCTGATTTGGTTTGGTTCATTCGTTCGTTCATTTCGTTAAAAAATTCTTGAAATGAAGGTTTATGTGAGAGAAAAATATTGTTCCGACTGAAAATTTACGATCGTTTACGACAAGCCACAGCCAAACAAACAAGTTGATTGGCTGATTTATAGTAAGAAGAAAAATATTATTCGTTTGCTGAGTCAAACGAACAGGGCAAACTTTGGACCGAGGACTCTTCTTGATTTGTATCTACGCCTAAACGCACCTGTTTCTATTCATGTCATTGATTGAGGCTCACAAGGTACCCAACACAACACCAATCAATAAACACGCCAATTTTGCCTGGTGTTCCCCTCCCCTCCGATCCACGGCGAATACAGCAAGATTAGCTTTCAGTTTACTCGTGCTGAAACAAAATACCTTTGTGCGTTCTCTTTTGCCTCCTCCACCAGAGTAAAATTTACATTACAAATATAGGAATTTGTTCCCATCCACACTCACTCGGTACAATAGTACACATCATGAAGCAGCCAACATTATTGACCGGCAGTTTCCAGGCACGTTCAAGGAACGAACGTCCTCGGTTTGTTCTAGCCAGACACCGCAACGTGACGACGGCGACCTTGATCCCTGATTTATTCGCTTCCAGTGCTTTGCTTGCAACATGCGGATTGAGGGAGGGGGTACCTTTCATCAAAATATCCCTGCTGCAACTGCAAGGTTGTTTACGTTGTACAGAACAGTACATTACAACCGGGCTTTCGCTAGCGCGGCGGGCTTGAAGCTCGCGATCCCGGTGATCTCTCTGCCGGTCACCAGGCTGTTGATGTCGTATGTGCCTTCATACGAGTAAATTGGCTCCAGGTCGCAGAACGCCTGTACAAGGTCGCGACAGTTATATATTAGTATACATACATACATACATACATACATACATACATTAAAAAAAAAGGGGGTGATGGTTGGTTGATGTGTAAACCACCACTGCAAAAAAGGCAACTAGCCATGAGCACTTTCGATATTATTCCTATATATAGGTCACCCATGACTGCATACCTTTGCCACAAGGAAATCGGCCAAAATTCCGTTCCCACCCAGCAGCTCTCGGCCAAGAGAAACCACCTCGCGGGCCATCCTGGAGTTCCAAGCCTAAAACGCGACACAGCCAGCAAGCCACTGAGTTATCAAAGCGAGAGACGGTGCAAAGAACGAGCATATCAGCCAGCTGAAGTCCACACACAGACAGACCTTCCCTAGGCTAGCGTGGCCTGGTGTCATTTTCCCCGACTCGTAAAGCTTGCAGAGGCGCCAGCCAACAAGGAGCATCGATTGGATGTTACCGAGCATCCGGACAAGTTTCTCTTGGTTCAGCTGAAACGCCGCTAGGGGGACTCCAAACTGTTTCCTTTCTTTCAGATACCTGTTTTTGGTTTAGACGAAAGGTACAAGGTAAAATCATCGCCAGTGACAAAAAGTATCAAACGAATGGTGGTGCGTACCGGTGGCACATATCGAAGGCCCCCATCGATATGCCAATTGGTTGCCATGCCACCATAATGCGCGAAATAGCAAGGACCTGCTTGCATAGTGAAAGTAGGTAAGCATATTACATCACCGAGCTTGTGATTTGGCATAACAGAAGTAAAAATCAGGAGAGACAAAAAAAAAATGAGCATAACACAAGCGAAATCAGAAAAGTGTCATCAGCACTACCTTGCTGATATCCTGAAATGAGGTGATGCCTGGCAATCGGTCTTCCTCAGGGACAAACACCTTGTTAAAAACTATATCACCGTTTTGAACCATCCTGAGACCGATTTTGTTCTAATTCTTTGTAGCTTTCAGACCAGGAGCTCCTTTCCTCATAATAAACCTAGAAGCAATCAAATGGAAATGAGGAAACAAGGCAATGCCAAAAAAAAAAAACTCGTCAACGTAAACGACTTCTTAACACGAAGATAGAATTAATGCATGAAACAACGCATTAGAAAAAAAATATGGTATATTAGCAATTAGTTGGATGCTTCAAAAGGAAAGTTCATTGATGGTCCAAGACAAGATGATTTACCCATTTAGTTGTTGTGTATCTGCATTCCTAGCTAATACCACGAGCACATCGGCGAACGTACTGTTACCGATCCAGCGTTTTTGACCATCTATGTGCCACCCAGCCAATACTTCAAGGTGCATACTATTGCTTGACAATAAAAATAAATGATCCAGAAATATTGAAAGTCAAGTGATCACATCTCCACAGCTTACAGCGTGTGCCTTCTAGGTTTTGTAGGATTTAGTTCCAGTATGAGAAGTTTATGCTCTCATTTTTAGATTCAAATGCTTTTTCAAGGAAGATGTGTTTTATCAGATCTATAAATGCACACAGATCAATGGATGATGTCAAAAGCAGTGGCTCTGGGGTTCAACGCAAAACTATTTAATACAACTATACAAGTAATCTTGTAGTCGTATATAACCCTGCTCTTCACTTTTACTGCAAAAGGCAGGAAATGAACACTACACACAAATACCATCTAAATTGGAATGAGCAAAATATCCTAGCTGTCCCCAAATCTATATCTTATACCAGGGTGTGCCAAGAGACAAAATGAATAAACTGAAGCAAAATAATAAGCTTGTAGCCTTGTGCAGACTGTATTGAAAGTCCTCCTTTATAGATTCTTGAAAAATTCAAATGCATCAAAAGCTTAACCTTGGTCGCTGTAGTTCTCAGAGAGCTTGCATCACTTCCATAATTTGGCTCTGTCAATGCCTACAGAAGAGAGACCTTTTCAGGAAAAGACTCTGTCATTCCACATTTTTATGCCTAAGGATACTGTAACTTACCCAACAGCCAACAGTAGTAAGTTGAGCAAGGGATGGCAAGTACTTCTGCTTCTGAGCCTCAGATCCACAAAGAGCTGTTCTTCAGACAAAACAGAAAGAGAGAAAGAGAGAGAGCAGTTCAGCTCCAGCATTCGGAGTAATTGATAATGGTAATTGATAAAATTTCTTAACACAAGATAGTAAGGATTAAAAATAAATCCAGCTTTTGAACCTATTGTCACCATCACAAGAGAGGAGTGCACCAGTATAAATGTGGAGCAGCTTGCATCTACCCGTGCCATTTCTGCCATAGTAACAGCACTGGCTGTAATTGAAAGTCCTGGGCACCCATAACCCTGCAGTAACCAAGACTCGTATCAAACTTTAGAAATATTGGAGCGCTAAAACATAAATGTAGATAATACATAATTCCATACACTTCAACACTCCACCAAAGAGGCGAAAAAAGGCATTCATGTTAAAGAAGAACAGTTTATACTATAGTAAGTGATCATATATATTCTGAAAAGCCTTGGCAATTGACGACACTAAGCTCATGCAAACTAATCGGTCGAAGCCATTTGCACCTATAACTCTTCTAAAAAATAGAAACTAAAGTACTGAAGAGAACCATTAACATAATTGCTCAACTAAAATTGACTCTAACCCGTACATTCAAGTAAATATTACCCATACAGAGAAAGGTAATTAACAAATAAAATGGTAACGACAATGTCAAGAAATCAATACCTTTATTGTACCACCAGCAACACCAAGGCTTGCAAGTTTAGGAATGGCATGAAATGGAAACTCTGCCTTTTCCCAGTACTGCAGTAGCGAATCAATAATGATTATGCGATTGTATAGAAAAGGTTGACCAGGAACTGCTTTAAGGACATTAGGAGTCAAACCAAACTATAAAAAAAAGTGACTTATGGATAAGTAGACTGCAATGCAATCTAACAAGGTATTATAAAAACGAAAGCATATTTAGCAATGACTTATGTCATAAGCAAACAGTTTCAGATAGTTTAACCCGAGATGGGGTAACCAGGTACGTATACAAACAGACTAGTTAATACTCCAATTTAACATACCGCTGCCATAATGGGCGCGATTTCTTTCTCCACAATACCCCTGACCTTCTTCCTGATAGAGCGCTCTTCACTGGTCAGCAAATCATCAAACTGGTAGTAATCCGAAGCTGCAAATGAGGGTGTACATACTTAAAAGCCAATAAATAAGGCAGTATACTTTAATTTTTGTAATTGAACTGAATAGGCTTATTGGGGCTGTGGCTTATTGAACTGAATGTGTCTGCATGTACTGTAGCTGCTGCTACCTGGCTGCTGCAGCTGCAGCTGCAGATAAGTTGCAGCCAGTACAGCCGAGCACAGAAAACTGAACTTTAGGTATTAGGATCATATATATCTAGGTTCACACCCCCTAAGCCACATAGAAGGTTGAGTAGTTTAATCCCTGCCCAGAAATGGTCAGGGTGCTGGTACTTAAGAATTACAGCAAAACAGGTCAGGAAAGAGGAGGACATGATGGCACAGTTGTGGCTGTGCATTGAAGCTATGAAAGCAACCCATCCAAGAAAGAAAGAGCCTACCAAAACACTAAATATATATATTAATTTCTGTTCACAACATGCCAAATCGATGCTTCTGTGATTGTAATTCGGCTCTAAGTCACAAATTCTAGAAAGCTGCATGACTCCAGGGTTGCACTAGGACTGCAACTGCTTATCTGCATAACTCTAGAATCATACAGCACCTCTGTCGATCTTGACCGCGAAATCGTCGAGACAGCCCTTCCCTTCCCCCGAGCGCCCCCCCCAACGGGCGACTCGGGGGCGACCACGCCGGCCACCGAGCTCGCGCCCCCCTCCTGGCCTCCCCTCCGGCCGCTGTCGCCGCCCTCTGGCGTGTGGCGGCGGCGGCCAGCGGCGGTCCCCAAAAAGGGCGCTTGTCCGCGATTTCCACCCACTCCCTCTCTCTTGCTCCTCCACCACCCCCTTCACCTGCGGCGGCGAACGGCAGCGGCCGGCCGGATCCGCACCTCTAGGGGCCGGATCTGTCGTCTGGTGGCGCCTAGGCCATCCGCGCGTCCCTCCTCGTCGGCGGCCGGCAGAGTTCGTCCGGGCGGCCGGGGTAGGACTGGGTACGCACGCATGGCGCCTGTTCTTGGTTGGCCCAGCATATGCCAGCCCTCTTGAACTGTCTTTGGGGCGGGGCGGCGGCCGGCCGGCGTGGCGAGCTACCCATCAAGCTCCTCCCCTCCTCCACTGTTACCTTCCCTGGCGGATCCGGCGATTTCAGTGGCCTGCGGGGCAGATCCGGGGGCCCTGGGGCCAGATCTGGCCTATCCTGCCACGGATCTGTGGTTGCCGGTTGGGACGCTGCGGCTGGCCCAGCGTTCGGTGGCCTCGGTAGCCTGGCGGCTCGCCTGCGGCGGTCGGCCAAGGCTGTGGCTGCCTCCTTGGTCATGCCGGCGTCCCCGACTGCGGTGGCTAGGCTGCGCTATGAGGGTCTAGTGCCTACGGCGGGCGTCCATCGGACCTGGCCTGCCGTGGCCGGCGAACAGTCTTCGGATGAAAATCCCGCCAGGCTTCTTGCCTTGGGCCGACGACGGTGGCGCCCCTTCTTGGAGGCGTCGTCATTTGGGTTTGCTGAGCCAAGTCTGGGGACGAAAGTCCATCTTGGGTGCCTCTCTCAACGAAGTTGGCATCCGCGGATGTCATTCCTGTTGAATTGCCGTTGATCGTTGTTGATCATTCACTTTGCTCCCACCACATGCGTTAGCTGGATGCTTCGTTGTTGCACTCCGCTTTACTCCCCCGCCGTTACCGGATGTCGCTCCTTCTCAGTACAGCTGTGTGTGCCTCATTCTACTCTTCGCATTGGTCCGCCTGACCTCGCTTGATGTTGCCCTTTGCGGTCGTTCGTGTAGTCATCACATGGCTACAGGTCGTTGTTGATGTTGCCGCCTGCCAATCAGCAGCAGTTCCACAATGACTACACACCGTCATTGTTGGAGTTTCTGCCGATCGATCGTTTGGTTGATCATAGCAGCTACCTGGTCGCTGTTGTCGCCGTTATCTGGGTTCTTTCGGCGGTTGATCATAGCAGCTACCTGGTCGCTGTTGTCGCCGTTATCTTGGTTCTTCCATTGAATGCTTGGCCACCGCAGCTTCGTTTTCTGATTGGGCAGCCTTTGCGTTGAATTTTTTTCCTACAGGTTCAGTCGGTTAGGTCTATGCTAAAGGGTCCTCTCCCTTCCGCCTTTCTTGCTGTTTTCTTGCTTTTTCTTGTATCGGGTGCTTGGGGTCTTGGTAATCTTGGGATTACCGGGATGGCTGTTGTTGTAACTGTTTAACTGCCTCTACTTCCTCTTAATGAAAAACGGGCTATATGTCCGATCGAGAAAAAAAAAACTCTAGAATCATACTCTAAAAGCCTAAAACTGTTGAGTACAAGTTCAGAAGCATTGCCATTTAGGTCCTGTTTGGTTCCCAAAAATTTTCAACCCAAAATGTCATATCAAATCTTACGGCACATGCATGGAGCATTAAATGTAGACGAAAAAAACTAATTGCACAGTTAGGTTGGAAATCGCGAGACGAATCTTTTAAACCTAATTAGTCCATGAAAAGCCTTAAGTGCTACAGTACCCACATGTGCTAATGACCGATTAATTAGTATCATTAGATTCGTCTCGCAGTTTCCTGATGGGTTCTGTAATTTATTTTTTTATTAATATCTAAAACCCCTCTCAATATCCTTCCGACACATCCGATGTGACACCCAAAAATTTTCACCTCACCAACTAAACACCCCCTTAATTGGAAAGCAACCTGCATATCTGCATATGCTGGTGGTCTAAATGGGGCCTATGCAATAATTAAGGGAGCAGCTGGAACTGCAATGAAAACAACCAAACAGTACCAAAACTAGATAACAGTACCAGATGTTAAAATGGCCAGGTAATTGGATAGTTAGCCAATTATATGCCAGTACGAACGTCTTATCGAAATTGGTACTGAAAGAGGAGAACATGTTTTCCCATGTCACTGTGCCAATCATTTCCTCAAAAAAACAATTGTACCAATCTCAGGGGGGGGAATAGCTGGACAAAACTGAGCAGCCAACCACCGCTGCAATCCTAACAGAGACAATTTACATAAAACTCCTTACAGCAGTCCGATTCCACGGCCCAAAGCTCACGATCCCCTCACTCCGTATCCCAGCCAGCAAAATTGAGTGGAAAAAAAAAGGAATAAAGCACTCACCGGACGGCGGGAAAATGGAGGCCGGCGTGGCCTTCGGGAACGCGAGGGAGAGATCCAACGACGGGAGCCCGACCTTGGCGCCGTCCTCCTCCCGCCCATCGCCGCCCGTAACTGCACTAAAGAGACCAGCCAATCATCATGCAACCAAAAACGGCAGGGGGAGAGATCACCCGACTCCGCACCAAATCGAGCCGTTCCACAGCGCAGGAAGGGAGGTCGACCCACCTCGCTTCCCCACCATCCCAGCGGCGCAGAGGAAGGGTCAGCGGAGTCCTGCACGAGGCGAGGGTCTTGGAGTTCCGGCGCAGGACGCGGGGAGAGGCCGGCGGGAGATGGAGGGAGTGCGTGCGAGGTGAGAAAGAAGAGCGAGAGACGGCGCTCTACTCTAGGCTTGATGGAGCAAGCTGGCTCGGCCCCACACGTCAGTGGCAGGTTTGAGGAGTCAGCTGACATAATTGAATATGGGCACATGGCAGAATGGAGAATAGCGGGTGATGACTGATGAAAGCTCAGACACGGCTCCGTACGAACACGGCAACTTCTCGCCATCCAAGGCTTTGTTTGGTTTTGTGATATCGGCCTGTTAGTTTTGACTTATGCTGATATTCATACTGATTTTATTGTGAGAGAAAAATACTGTTCGTTCACTGAAAAACACCGTTTTTTCGATGGAGATGACCATATGATCCAGAGATGATATTTATTCATAGATGATCTGGACAAATATTCGTCACAAAAGAATATTCTCTATAAGTATTTAAATAAGTTTACACATACATGTTTTCTGTGCCGATTAGGCTATAAGTGGTGCTAATTAACATATTTATTTTTAAATCAGTGATTATGATGATAAAATCAGTATTAGTGTATATTTATTAGTATAATTGCTTCCTCTATTTTTTTACATGGCACATTAGCTTTGTCCTATGTAAGCATTACTATCTTTGGCCATCCATTTTTAAAATTCTTGTAGTTTCACAACATATAAATTATATATTACGAAAATGTTTGAATCTAAAAACATAAATCTTATACCATGAACCTATATTTTTTAATTGATGATCAAATATACAAATTTTGACTTAGGACAATCCTAACATGACATGTAAAAAACAGAGAGACGAGTTACTATTATTTTAAAATAATAGATATAATTATTCAACTAATTTTACATCTATTTTCATCCATGCAATCAAATAGAAAAATCGTTCGTCTCATCCATCCAACCAAACAAATAGCATGTATAAACTCATCTTAAAATCTATGAATAGCCATATTCCATCTACTAACTTTATTCTTAGACCAAACGCATGTATCACTTCTCCCTATCAATCGCGCTAAATTTGAATACGTGCGTGTTCGGTGTTCCCTTCCATGTGGAGAAAATTACAACCTACTCTCGCCTGCGAATTATATGTCCAAAGTGCATCATTTTCGCTTTCCGTTAATGTCAGCTTTGGTGGATAAACCAGATAATTCCAACCTCTACAACGACGATGCGATGTATGGACTTGTATATGGGGTGCTGTTTTTTTTTTCCACTTCATCCAAGGCTTACGAATAAGTCATGAAAAATCAGCTTTTGTCCAATTTTGCGAGTTTGGGATTTGGTCCAAACGGTGGAGGTAAATCAAACGGTACGTTTCGGCCCGTTTCATCTACCGTGGTCATCCCCACAGCTTTACTCGCCTGCTTCCGCTTATTCGTCCTTCTTCTAAGGTCGCACACATCTTGCAGACGCAAAGGTGCTTTGGAAGACTCATGCATGCTCCGACTATAATGCATATTTTTCTGTTGGCTCGATTCTGCACGGCCGCTGTTTAAGTGATAAACCTTCGATTTTGACACAATCTGCAGAGCAACAACACTTGTTCCCTCTGTGATTAAGACAGGGAGACGATCGACCATCTGCTGCTTGGATGCTCTTATAGCAGGGGAGGTGTGGTTTCAGATATATGTATTAATAACTTTTGATCCTGTGTTGTCTGAGCCACTTCTAGATTTGAGTATGTGTGTTTTCACACTTGCTCTCTTCTTAATAAAATATGCGATCAGACGCGTTTGCAAAACACACACACACACACACACAGGGCATATATTGTATGAAAATCTACCATGATGTTATTAGGATACATGCATGTAATCTTACGAACATTTATCCGAAATGGAGGGAGTAGTTATTAGGACTCATCAATGCATCAACATCGCTAATGGGAGAGAGGAGGGAGGTAGCTAGTTGCCTTTAGGCGTACTAGCAAGGATGCATGTGGGTTCACCATATGCAGCTGGTTCATGGCCAACCTACCTACGAGTGCATGCATTCCTAGCTAGTGCAAAGAAAGTAAGAAACGTACAGGCTTCACGCCATTTTAGAGCGACAAAGTCCGACGTCCAAAATAAAGCATGAACTAGCGTTGTCTTTCTCTCTAAACATAGTACTACGACGCCCTAGCTAGCTAGATCCACTCTCATCCACTCATATCTTAGACAACCACCTCCTATTAAAACCACACTTGGTCTGCCTCTCTATCTCGCCAATAAGCAACAAAACAAACTTAATTATTCCCGTGCAGATCGATCAGCTAGCTGAAAGACAACAAGCATCCATGGAGAAGAAGGTGATGATGAACACGCGGCTGGCCGTGGCGGCCGTGGTGCTGTTATTTGGCCTGCTGCTGGCCGGGCAGGAGGCCGCCGCTGCCGGGTACGCCCCCGCCACCGAGGCAACCCCCGCCACCGATGCCGCGGAAGCGACGCCGGCGACGCCCAGCGAGGGCAAGGCCAGGGCCAGCTACGGCAAGGCTAGCAAGGCCGAGTGCGAGGTCCCCGGCACTTGCGACGTGAAGCTCGCCGCCGCCGACAGCACTCGCCCGGGGGCGGAGGCCAACCCATACACCCGTGGCTGCAGCAAGATCACTGGGTGCCGCGGCTGATCGATGCGATGCACGCATATATATGTGTGTGCAGCAGGCGGTTGATCGAGCTGAGAGCCTCACTGTGCGTCGCATGCATGCGGTCCGGGCGTGCAGGGCTAACTCATCGTTGCTTTACGCGCGCGCGCGCGCGTGTGTGTCTCCTGTCCATTTCGTATGCTGAGGTATATATACATACGGAGTACATTTATTTATTCGCAGAGATCCAGGTTCAAGAAAGTTGTCTGACCTGGGTATTTCCAATTCCTAAAATCTGTGATTCCAAATGAAGCCGTTGGTGCACCCAAGTTATCTGGTTGATGAGCTGTTTTTTATTCTCTAAAAGGAAAATATTGCTAAAGCTCTTAATTTTAGCACATAGTTTTAGTTGTAAGCCTCTAAGGTGAAGCTTCTTGTCGTTGGAGATGTGCCAAATATAAATGTGTATGATTTATTTAGATCACACTGTGTCCACTTCCCATCGGTGTTCCGTCAAGGAAGCACTCATCCATGTAAAGTCTCTACACTATAAAGGAACAAAATCAAAACAAAGCTGGATATACACCAAATTGTGTCAATCTAAGGGCTGTGGCTCTTTTTATCATCCCTCAACTTGGCTTCAACATTGCTACCACTCCCCACCCACCCACCCACCCCCGCCTCCAGCACTCAGAGATCGAATCCCCAGCTAGCCCGTTTTCACCAAAAATGAAAAAAAAGGTTTCCTCAACTAGTCCGACCTCGCAACGTCCTACACCCTCTCACGTGGTATATTGTCCTAATGATTGATCATGAATAAAAATGAATAACAATGTCACCATAGCGTTAGCACGAACAACATACTAGTCTCTGTAAGGTGTTGTTAAATCAATAAAGGTTGTCATAAAAAATACGGATGATTTGTGCTCCTAGCTTGAATGCTGGAACAGGGGATGAAAGACGAGGTTGATCTTCCAATTGGAAGCTTTCTTTTAAATAATTTATTGGAGTATTGGACTATCTATTTGAACTTGGTACTTGGTACACACGGATTTGTTGGCTCCAAGCATGACATGCACCCTTGATCACAAAATAATAGTGTGTTCGATTTTGGGAGTTAAGTTTTTCTAAGTTTGACTAGCTTTATAGAAAATAACGTCAATATTGTATCTCTAAATAAGTTTCCTATGCAATATATGTCCCCATTAATCTACTGATATCTATAATTTCTTACACATCATAATTATTAATACCTTTAATTGTGTATTTGGTCAGTCTCAAAAATTGTGCATGAAAACTTAGATGTGCAGTTATTTTTGTACAGAGGATGAAGATTACTAGACACTCGTACGACAGCGTAGAATTCATATTGGATCTAAAAGAAGCCGTTAAAGTTGGCCACCATGATTACTCAATGAAAATTTCATTCTCATTTAAATAGGATGTCAAATAAACAATTTTGATTACATGCTCACAATAATAGTGAGTCAGGGCAAATCTAACAGTAGGGTGCACAGGGCTCGAGCCCCCACTACTACCTCCCGCACAATGGAACCAACTAATCTAAAAGAACATACCGTAAAAACAATGGCAGCAACCCAAGTTGAGTTATGGGCTTACTGTCCGCGCACCAGATGACACCTACCGTCCCAAGGGGGTGGCTGCTAGGAGCAGTCACACGACACGGGGAGAGGGCGAGACAATGGGGTGACTGCCCGTTTGCCCAAGAATTCTGGCAAAAACTTGGGTTCCACATCAATCAGACGTCCCCGGTCGATCGTTTGATCAACGTCCGATGCCCTTCAAGCTTCCCAAAACAACATTTCAGAACTTATTTTATGGCGCTTTGTTACTGGCACCTCTGGAAACGGACGAAGGGCGTCGTGTTCAGGGATTGGAGAGACAGCCACAACCTGGCAGACATTTCGTCTAATAGAAGCTGACGCTAAGCTATGGGGATGCGGCTGCCAAAGAAGGATAGAGCCCTAGCAAATGCTTGGTGTGAATTCTTAGGAATCAGTGATGTATTTCAAACAAGATGGGCTATCCTCACGGAGCCTAGATCAATGAATTAATACAAAATTAGGTGGGGAGTCTTTTCCCCCGTTGACAAAAAAAAAAAGAGGTGAAGGTGCGGAGCGACACCTACCGTCCACCATTGGTGGGCGGGTGCTAGGAGCAGTCGCACGGGGAGGTGACGAGGAGACCGGGATAGAGCGTGTGGAGCGATAGGCGAACAATTGTTGATTTCCTAGTGTGCAGAGCTAGATTAGCTCGATCGCTGGCTTATAGGACAGCAGAGGGATGGGTCAAACAAGGCAAATTGCGATGCAAGGAAACAATGTGTAGGACACACGTGGCCGTGGCTGCCAATAGGGTCGGATCCTTCTTCAGTTCCATCGAAAATGTAATCAAACATTCCGACCTACTGAAATCTGTCATCTGCATCTTCTTCCCTTCTCCAAGTCTCCTACCCCTGCTTCCTGCAAACATTACGTACTGTTGCTCATTCCTCTTCGGCACTATTGGGGTCCATCAGCCTCTATCCATAGGACGATGGTTACAGACGGTTGGATATACATGCCAGGTTTTGGTGAGGAAAATTAGACGTTGGAAGATCAATTTTGGTAGGTGTGTAAATGGTTGTGTCAACTGTAGTATTAACTTGAATCCACGTGTTAGGATTTGATAGTTATGTAATTTTATGCGTTAAATTTGTTATTTTTTAAAACAAAATCCAAGAGGTAAGACAAGCTAGATGTATAGGATATAATTGGGTTAATGGAAATTATATATCAATTCATTTACTCTGAACATTGTTGTAGGCATCATTTGTTTGACTTGTGTTTGGACAAGAGAATGATATCATCATTATTAGCTAATCTATCAGAAAGGGAGAACCCAGCCCAGACGACAGAAGAATCACGAACTTTTTCCCCATTCTTATCCAAGGAAAACTCCTGCTTCCCAGAATAGAACCCTGTGCGTTGTTTTTTTCTCTAAACTAAACATAGCACATGGAGGCCCTACATCTGATCTCATCCACAGATATCTTAAGACAAGCAGCCTCTACAAAACCTGTACTGGTCGATCATTACATCACATCACAAGAAATAAAAACCCCTCTCTACCTAGCTAGCTCCTCATAATTTTTTTCCATCGCAAGAGGAGAGGAGAGGAGCGAGGCTAGCCATGGCGGCAGCGGCGAACACGGCGAGGCTGGCCATGGTGGCGGCGGCGGTGCTGTGCCTGCTGCTGGCGACGGCGCCGCAGGAGGCCGCCGGCGCCGATCAGGGGCAGTACTTATCGTATGACAAGGTGCTCAGCTGCAAGGCGCTGGGCAACTGCGAGAAGAACCAGGGCCCCGAGGCCAAACGCCCCGGGAAGCCGGCCAACGACTACACCCGCGGCTGCAGCAAGATCTTCAAGTGCCGCGGCTGATCGATCCATCGATCGATGCGCACGCACAGCAGGTCTCGTGTCGTGCATGTATATATGTATGTACCCGCATTCTGCATTGGTCGTCGTTTGCATGCAGAGATCGTGTACTGTATTCGTGCCAACTGATGTTTCTTGCGTTGCATATCGATCCGTGAGTCGTCTACTGATGTACTGTGTGGGTATTGTACACTGATGTGTGGCTCAACATTTCATGATTAATGTAATACAAGTACAGTGACAACCAAAGTTGCAGAGAGGAAGTTTTTTATTTTATATATTAGGCTGAAGCAGGCTGCTGCAAACTTTGTTGGCATGCATGCGCAGGCACCAAAATTTTGCCGCAGACGGGTGCTTCCTACTGGCACTTAGCAGATACAAACACCGACACCTGCCATACATGGGCGCTAGCTATACGGCTACAATGCAAAGAAACAAAACTTTGTAGCCCGCCCTTGCTTGACCGTTACACGCAAGCATGCATGCTTGTAGCAACTATACACCGACCATAATAACTAGGACTAGGATACACGTACGTACGCACGCATAGTACGTGTATATATACTCCACTACTACCGCGGCCCGCCGGCCGGTACATGGTGGTATAGTACTACTACTACGGTGGTCAACAACGATGGACGACTGGAGCGATATGCATGATGATCAGTTGCGGCTGATGTCCTTCATGGCCTCCTGGAGCTGCTTCTCGTCGGGCTCGATGAGCACGCCGCCCTCCTTCTCGGCGCGCTCCTTGTCGGACTCCGCCGTGCGGCTCCGCCCTCCCTTCTTACGTCCTGCATGCATGCATCACTCCAAGAAACGCGGTCAAACATATGGAAGCTCGCATCGGTGGAATGAGATGGCGACGTGGGCGCGCGTCGTACCTTCGGCGAGGCGCTCCTGGGCCTCGAGGCTGGTCCAGCCGGTGCCGCCCTTGACGACGGTCTCGCCTTCCTCGCGGACGCGGCGGTCCAGCGCTGCCCGGATCTCGGGGTCCTGCAGCTCCGCCTGCTGCGACGCCATTGTTATCCCCACCCCACCACCAGCGGCGGCTAGCCGGACGCTCTCGCTGACAAGCACACACCGCAAACTCTTCAAGCTACCTTATTACTACCTGTCGAGCTTAGCTCACTCTTGCTGCTCCGAGTGGACTCGATCGGCACCGTATTTATACACAGCTCGCGTCAAGCAAGCGTTAGCGAGACGACCCCCTTCATCTTCATCTTTTACCGCCAGAGAAGGGGTTAGCGTGGCGGACATGCTCGCGACCGCGCCGGCGTGTGTCGTCCTGCGCCTGCCGCCGGCCGGACGCGTGTGAGGAGGATAAGGGCTTACCGCGCGGCGAGCGAGCACGTCACTGCCTTCGTGTCGCGGTATTTACATGCATATTACCGTGTGCACGCAGTGCATCCATCCGACGTGGAGGGCACCTGTCGGCCGAGGTGAATTTTTTGCATTTTTGTCTCTTTTTAAAATATTTTTTACAAAAAGACTCTAGTCAAAACTTTTGCTACAAATAGACCATTTTTAAGCGTCTTAGGAAATCACGCCGAGGTATGAAGGTCGGCGTCGACTGACACGACGCCGAGTCCTTGCCACATCACCGACGACTCTGGGGCTGGCGCATGGGGCCCAGTACGTCGGCGTCGTGTCAGCCCAGGCCTAAATTCGGCGCTGTGGGGAGTCACGCCGAGCTCTTGGCACCATCCGGCGCGCGGCCCAGGCGGCCCAACAACGCTTCGTGGGCCAAGAGGTCGGCGTGCGGTCAGATGACGCCGAGACGCTAACCTCGGCGCGGCCCGACTCAACGCCGAGGTTCGGTCAGTTGAGGCCGCGCCGCGGCCCCCTTCTTCCTCCCCCCTCCATTCAGAACCAACAGGTGGCCATTTCCCACTCCCTCTCTTCCCACGAACCCTAAATCCTAAATCCAGCTCTTGGGAGGCCAGATCGAGGGTTTTGACGTTTTGCCAAGGTACTCCTCTTTTCCCTCTTTCATTTCATCCATTTAGATTCGGTTGTTTGTGTTTTTTTTAACTTGGCATTATAGGTTTGGTTCATGTTCATGTCATTCGTGCAATGTATGGTGGTTCAAATGATTGAATGATCCAAATGTATGGTTGTTGTTGTTGTATATGTTCTGGTTTATAATCATTGAGTTAAATTTTATATTTGTTGGGATTCAAATTTGCTTAGAGTTTGTAATGAAAAGCTTATTTGGGAGGTATGGTGATTTAGTGTTAGTAGCTTTACATTCGTTGAAAGGTACTTTGGATTGATTTTTTTTCTACGTAATGTTAGGATGCCAAGGCGTGGTAAAGCTCGTATTCCAAGTTAATCCCAATGTTTATTCATTATTTGTGCAACAAATAGAAAACCCTAGATACAGGGCGGAGAGGGAGAAGAAGCTTGAGCGTGTGCGTCGAGCGAAGGCAGCGATGGAGGAGAATCCCGATGGCCAGAGGAAGGGAAAGTGGCCTCGTTGCACTCAGTAGGTATTTGGTTTATTCATGAGCGATGTCGTGTAGCCCTGGACTTTTTTTACTATGTTGTAAAGCACTCTGCTTTTATTTCAGATGAACTTATTCCCTGGACTTTTTTATTATGTTGTAATGCACTATGCTTTTATTTCAGATGGTCTTATGCCCTTTACTTCGTTAACTATCCTAGGACTGTAGTGCTACTATTTGTATCATTGAAAAGGCTACTTGTGCTGTTGCAGTCACTGAAAGGGCTACAAGTACTGTTGCAATCAATGAAAAGTCTATTTGAAAACTCACTGAAAAGCCTAGATTCGTTTACTGTTGTAAACGTATACGCAATGAATTAATATCAGAGTGATGTACTACTGCATTTAGATGAAGTGACAAAACACAGGTGTAGCCTTTTCAGATGAAATGACCAGTCATGGTTGTAGGCTTTTCAGATGAAGCATCTAGCCTTTGCAGATTCAATAAATGAGTACGCACACAAGTTTTTTTGTCAAGTAGCATTCATGGTGAACCTGCCTTCATCTCTATATATAGTGCTCCATGTCTTGCTCCATATCCACACAACTTGTTTTCTGGTTTAGTTTTAGCAAATGTCGAGCGGAGGTTCCTCGAGTGGAAAGGGTTTCGGCGGAGGGAGAGGAAAGGGGGTGAGGAAGGGACCTCCGATTGCGTGGGAGGGTTCTCTAGGTCCTGATTCTTTTGAAGAACCAATAGACGAATTTCCTTTGGAGAGGAAGAGTGACTTCACCCGTGAGAGACCTCTTAGATCATACGACAAGCGCATTGAAGATTGGCGAAAATGCATACCGGTTTGGATTATGTTGTGCGGATGTACAACGGCGATCAGGACGGATGGAGGCCATCGTTTCTTCAGATGCCCGCGATGATTTGTATTTCCTTTGAACTATCTCCTTTTTTAGATTTGCATTTGGTTTGTAGTAGTACTTATTGGTAGATGGGTTTTCAGGATTCAAGCTGTCCAGATAACTGTGGCTTCACTAGATGGGTCGACCCTCCTCCTATCTATCCCCATCAACAGTACATCACATATCTACAGGGACGCATCTTTTACCTAGAGTATGGCCCTAGAAGTGGTAACAGGGACAAGTCGGACGAAGACAACAACAATGATGCAGAGGAGGCACTATGCAATAATTCGTACTGCCAGTGCCCGTACCATAAGAAGCACGGGCCTCCTTCTCCACCGCCACCGCCACCGCCGCCGTCAACTGGAGGATACTATGGGGAAGGCGCAACTCAATTCAATATGTGGGAGCATTATGCCATTATTAGTTTTCATGTGAGTGTTAGTTTTCATGTGAGTGTGTAATCGTAGTACCTTTGCAACGTCTGTATCACTTGTTAGTTTGCAACATGCCATTGTTAGTTTTCATGTGAGTGTGTAATCGTAGTACCTTTGCAACGTCTGTATCACTTGTTTCTTTCAATCCCCTAAGGCATGCTAGGTTTAGTTTGCGACATGCCATTGTTAGTTTTGATGTGAGTGTAATCGTTGTGCATTCGCTATTTCATAAATTGCAGTCTTCGGATAGAAGGGGGCCCAATTGCAATCTTCTGAATGGAGGGAGGAAGAAGAAGGGGGCCACGGTGCGGCTTCAAGAGTCCACGGCGTTAAGTGACCCCGTGCCGAGCTATTGGGCCACAAAGCGTTGTTGGGCCGCCTGGGCCGCGCGTCGGATGGTGCCAATAGCTCGACGTGTAGTCCCACCGCGCCGAGGTTGGGCCTGTGGCGTTGGCTGACACAACGCCGACGTGTCGGACCCCATGCGCCACCGTGTCGCCGTCGACCGGGGTCGTCCATGACGTGGCAAGACCTCGGCGTCGTGTCAGTCGACGCCGACCCTCATACCTTGGCGTCATGTTCTAAGACGCCTAAAAATGGTCTATTTTCAGCAAACGTTTTGGCACAGGTCTTTTTGTAAAAAATGTTTTCAAAAGGGACCAAAATGCAAAAATTGCACTCGGCCGAGCTCCTCCTTCCGCTAGTATAGCACTGGACATGGGCCTAATGGGCTTGCCTGGAAGTATCACGTCACGTAACTCAACATCTCGACCTTTGATACTCCGGCCCGGCCCACTTGATTGGCCACCCGATCGGCTTCTAGCAATGCAAGAAATGGCTATGTGTCGGAAAAAGGGATATCCAGTAGCAGGTGGGACAAGGAAGGACTAATGGAGGCCATCGCCCCGCCAAGTGCCCTGGGCGAAGGCGTGAAGTGTGGAGAGTGGGCCCACGCCTGATTAGGATTTCATAAATGTATTCAATCACCTCACTTTGTACAGAGTTTGAGTCCCGTTTTATAGGGCACTGCTTACTAAGGCTACTCTTTATAATACTATCCTTTATCGGTTATAGTACATCCTCAGAATATTCCCATACTAATACAAATCGTTAGGGGTACTTTGGGTGCCTTCTTCTTCAACTGCCTTTGCTAGATGGGCCACTACCGTGAGTCCGTTTGCGGCCCATGGCCTGGCACCGCTGAAAGGTCCTAATAGCTAGACGGGGGGGCTAAATAGCCTATTAAAATATTCTACAACAACACTTAGCAAATCGGTTAGACAAATATGAGGCAAAGCGAGTGTTGCGCTAGCCTACTAAAAATGCAAGCCACCTACCACAATTCTAGTTTAGATAGTCTCTATCCACACAATGGCTATGTCTCTATACTAAGTTAATGTGCTCTCAAAGGCTAACCAAAGAGCCACACTAACCAAACTAACAATCTCTCACAACTAGCTATACTAAAGAGCTTGACAACTAGTTTGCAGTAATGTAAAGAGAGAGAGCAAGATGGTTATACCGCCGAGTCGAGAAATAAACCAATCAATCACAAGAATGAATATCAATGAAGATCAATCAGCTCAGAATCAAATGTTGACACAATGATTTTTTTATCGAGGTTCACTTGCTTGCCGACAAGCTAGTCCTCGTTGTGGCGATTCACTCACTTGGAGGTTCACGCGCTAATTGGCATCACACGCCAAACCCTCAATAGGGTGCCACACAACCAACACAAGATGAGGATCACACAAGCCACGAACAATTTACTAGAGTACATTTTGGCTCTCCGCCGGGGAAAGGTCAAGAACCCCTCACAATCACCACGATCGGAGCCAGAGACAACCACCAACCTCCGCTCGACGATCCTCGCTGCTCCAAGCCATCTAGGTGGCGGCAACCACCAAATGTAACAAGCGAGTCCCGTAGCGAAACACGAACACCAAGTGCCTCTAGATGCAAACACTCAAGCAATGCACTTGGATTCACTCACAATCTCACAAAGATGATGAATCAATGATGAAGATGAGTGGGAGGGCTTTGGCTAAGCTCACTAGGTTGCTATGTCAATGCAAATAGCTAAGAGAGCGAGCTTGAGCTGGCCATGGGACTTAAATAGAAGCCCCCACGAAATAGAGCCGTTGGCTCCTCAGTCCACTGAAAATCGGGGCGATCGGACGTGCCGGTTAGATCGACCAGACGTAGGACCCCAGCGTTCGGTCGCGTGATGC